CTTACAATAATCATCATAATAATTAATAACCTATCTAATTCATAATTCAGTCTACTGAAGCACCCACTCTCCATTGCAATTCCAACTTCCCAGTTTCTTCTAATGAAGGTAGGTCCCAAAAGACAGATATTTTGCAGGGTCAAAGCCCATTGATGAGCAACTGAGCATCAGATGGGAACTAAGTCCCCTCAGGGATGCGTATCCTGACAATCTTTAGGGAGATGATGCTCTAAGCACAGGAGGACATTTCTCGTGCCATGGCTGAGCAGACTGACCCCAATCTTAATTGGATCTGGGCTGACAAACCCTCTGGCAGCTCCTGGGAAACAATAGTGCAGGAACTGGGGGACGTGCATGGAATGTGCTGCTTTGTTCTCCACAGGCAGCTGTGTGGCTGCGATTCAGGAATCCTCACTGGATGAGGAGCAGTCACAGTTAGGAATCACAGCACAGAGTAGTTTGGTCAGCTCAGTTTTAGTGGCCAGGGACTGGGGAAGTTGTAGCCACAGGCATCAGGTGCTGCAGAGAGGGGGAGGTGGTTGATGGAATGCAAAGGTCTGTTTATCAAAGGTGAGTTGAATTGTTGTTTTCATTCTTCCATGGATGAAAAGAATCATAGAGTTATAGAATCATAGAATCAACTAGGTTGGAAAAGACCCCTGAGATCATCAAGTCCAACCCTTGATCCAAGCCCACCGTGGTTCCCAGCCCATGGCACTGATGCCACATCCAGTCTCACCTTAAACACCTCCAGAGAGGGAGAATCCATCCCCTCCCTGGGCAGCCCATTCCAAGCTCTGATCACTCTCTCTGCAAAGAATTTCTTCCTGACATCCAACCTAAACCTCCCCTGGCACAGTTGGAGACCGAGCCCTCTTGTCCTACTGCTGGTTCCTGGGAGCAGAGCCCAATCCCCCCCGGCTCCCCCCTCCTGTCAGGGAGTTGCAGAGAGTGAGGAGGTCTCCCCTGAGCCTCCTCCTCTCCAGGCTGAGCCCCCCCAGCTCCCTCAGCCTCTCCTCATGGCAATTGTGCTCCAGACCCTTCCCCAGCCTCGTTGCTCTTCTCTGCACCTGCTCCAGCCCCTCCATGGCCTTCCTGAGCTGAGGGCCCAGAGCTGGACACAGCACTCCAGGGGAGGCCTCACCAGTTCTGAATCCAGGGGAGAATCCCTTCCCTGCTCCTGCTGCCACACTGTTCCTGATCCAGGTCAGGATCCATTGGCCTTGAAAGAACTTTCAAGCAGAACGACAGCTTTCAGCTTTATAGAATCATAAAATCATGGAATCACGGAATCACTAAGATTGGAAAAAATCTCCAGGATCATCATGTCCAACTGTCAACCCAGCACCATCACTTTCACCACCAAACCACATCCTCAAGTGCCATATCCACATGTTTTTTAACACTTCCAGAGTTGATGACTCCACCACCTCCCTGAGCAGCCTGTTCCAATGCTTGGCAACCCTTTCCATGAAGCAATTTTTTTCTTAATATCCAATCTAAACCTCCTCTGGTGCAACTTGAGGCCAATTCCTCTTGTCCTGTCACTTGTTACCTGGGAGAAGAGAATTATAAAAATACAAATATACACCTGGGAGAAGAGACCATTATTTCTTTTCCTACCAGAAACACGCTTTTAAATATTAACACTGCATGATCCAATCCAACCACACAAAGCTTTGTGGGTTTGCATGGCACAAGCAGGGCTAAAATATCCAAGGAAACTTTGTTGGTAGAGAAGTGCAAAGGCAAGAGATTCCTCTTAAACCTGGGACTGGAATTTTGAATTCAGAGTGAGGAATAAAGCTCCACTGAGTGGAGTTAGAGCCCACACTCCTAAATACTGTAGTGAAGGATATCTCAGCAAACATTCTGTGCAGATGCCTTGTACAGAATCGTGCAGATGACAAGAAATGCAGACTTATGTAGGAGATGATTTGATTTTCTGTCTTGCTAAGACACAGCTTTTTTTATTTACATTCTTCCCACACCTGTGTGTCATCTTACCCTTTTCAACCCTTTCTCCCAGAGCTGGTTACTGACAGCACCGACCTTTAGTTGCAACTCAAGCACAAAAGGGTGGGCCAGACAACATGCAAAGAGAGAATGGGAATTAGGTTTCAGTGAAGGGATTGATCCTTGAAATATAGCCATGTTTTGGTTTCTGCATAATCATCTCTAGTAAAATAAAATTTAAAAAAAAATAATATGGAATAAATAAATATGTGAACAAGCAGTTAGATAAAATGAAGTGTGTGTGTGCACGTGTATATGTGAGTGTAGATAAAAATCCAAGAAATAAACAGCAAACACCCACAAAAATAAATATTTATGCAAAAGAAAATGAAAAAAAAAAACAAACATGCAAGAACATTGGGACAGTCCTGCAACTTCCTCTGGAGACTCTGATAATGTTCTCTAGTCTCCTCTGGAGGCTTAGTTCAGTGATTTCCTCTGAGGAATGTGGATTTTAAGAGGTTGAGGTACAAATACAGTCAGACCATGACAGTGTAAACAAGAAATGTGTCAGAAACCCATCTCACAGTGACCCCTTCCCCAGCCCAACTCCAGACTTCGGAGTCTGGTCAAGTCACACAAGGATAATGACAGCAGATTTCAGGTCTAAAAAGTTCAGAAATTGTATTTGCAGCTTCCACTCCTCCGAATTTCCCCTAATTCTGACATCTCTGCTCCTCAGTAAAGCTCCAGAACTCAGCATCTGCACTTTGACCTGTCCACCCAACATGCAAAAATAAAAGAGACATAATTGTGTTTCACATAATCACACCTAATGTAACTAATCCAACAAATGGCCTCCTTGCACTGACCTCTCTTTTTGTCCCCATTTAGCTGATACCTGTGAATCCCTCAGGCTTTGATGCTTTAAAGACACAAGTAATAATAATAAAACTTTATGCCCAGAGAGAATGTTCTGACTCAGCCTTTCACCTGCTGGAAGGTCTCCAGAGAGGAAGAGAAGTCTCCTAGTTTTTAGGGTTCCTGAAGCAATGACATCTCTGTGATAACTGATGAACCTCAGCACCATAAGAGGACAACAGCATTATCTATGTGGAAAGAGCCATAATAAGGGAAGTTTTCAGCCTAAGGCTGAAATGTCAGACTTTCACAGAAGCTTCACCCAAAATAGCAGCAGGAGTTTTACAGGGAAGTTGCCTAAAGCTTTGTCTGAGTCTACTCCAAAATCCAGACTCTTCTGCCATCCAGACCATAATCATTTAAATGGTTTCTATGAGACTCAGGAATTGGGATCATGAAACTGGAGTTATTGGATATACTGAATGTAAACCCTTTCAGGTCTCAAGATCTTGTCCATGGAACATCAACTTTAGGATGATCAGCAAATGTATTCCAGTCTTCCATCTGCAGTTATTGCTGATTTAGCCTCATCTCCATCCTGGTCCAGAAGTATGTGGACATGTCAGGCCAACTTTTAAATTCTACTCTCCCCATGAACAAGTAATTTGATATTTCTCATCACTGGTGGCAAGAGAAAGAGCCAATGCAACACAGAAATGCTCCTATTCCCCATTTGAAGCTGTTGACTACAGAAAACCTGGAAAAAAAAATTACATTCCTGAAGGTCTGAGACATTCCCTCGACCCAGGAACTGTCTAAACCATCTTATTACCAAATTAAGGGAGTCATGAAGGTGTTGGACAAAGTCCTCTGGCTGTATTTTGCTACCTTCTGAAAAGCCTGATGGAGATATTTGTGGGGAAATGTGGCCATGGAGGAACACTCGTTTTCCAGGCAATCGGACACCAGGAAAAAAACACCAGCATAAAGCTGTTTGTTATGCCTGGTTAGTGTGACAAATAAGTCACAACAGTGGGACACACTGTCAGACAGGAGGCCAAAGAATAACACAAGAATTGTGTCACTTCTGCCGAGAAAACCAGCTGAACCCAACCCCTCAGCATGTTTAAATCACAGCATTCCCAAGCGGACCCAAGGATTAACTGTTCCCTTGCAGATCTTTGGAGCAGCAATCACATAATCCCTCCACCACCTCATATTAAAGACCTTTTCTCTCCTACAGCTGAGGGTCAAAAGCTGAGTGAAATTAAGTTGCCAGAACGTTGCTCTTTTATTTATGGAGAAGCTGCAGCACTTGAGCTCCAGATGGAGCTGCTGGAGCACGTGGCTGCAGCCACATCCAACAGGGATGTGGCCTCTTCTCCCGTGTTGCCTTGTCTACAAGGTGGCCTGGGCAAGTTTGGGTGGGGCCCTGAGCAACCTGGTTGAGAGGGTGATATCCATCCTACCCATGGAAGTGGGGTTGGAAATAGAGGATTTTTAAGGTCCCTTCCCACTGAAACCAAACCATTTTATGATTCTGTGAAATACAGGAAGGACAAGCAGAAGCCCTGTCCTGGATATTGCCCTGTTAAAGTCATAAATCAAGCCTATCCTTCAGGCTGGATCTCTAATTGAAGCCAATGCAACAAAAGCACAAAACCTGGAGCTCTTTAAATGAGGAATTTAATAAACTGAGCTTATTAAACACTTTGTAGAAGCCCAGATTTGGGCATAATTGAGCAGATCCAGGAGTAGAGGATTCAGGACCCCAATTCATAGAATCATAGAATCGTAGAATCATAGAATCATAGAATCATAGAATCATAGAATCATAGAATCATAGAATCATAGAATCATAGTCATAGAATGGTTTGAGTTGGAAGGGACCTGAAAGTTCATGCAGTTCCAATCCCCTGCCATGGGCAGGGACACCTTCCACTAGCCCAGGTTGCCCCAAGCCCCATCCAACCTGGCCTTGGACACTTCCAGGGATGCGGCAGCCACAGCTTCTCTGGGTAACCTGTGCCAGGGCCTCCCCACCCTCACAGGGAAGCATTTTTGACCAATATCCCATCTAAATTTATCCTCTTTCAGCTTAAAGTCATTTCCCCTTGTCCTGTCCCTCCAGGCCCTTGTCCAAAGTCCCTCTCCAGCTCTCTTGGAGCCACTTCAGGCACTGGAAGGGGCTCCAAGGTCTCCCCAGAGCCTTCTCTTCTCCAGGTGATCCCCCCCAGCTCCCAGCCTGTGGTGTACCAGGGTTCAGCAAGAACAAGCCCCTTACCCCAGAGAGACACTGGCAGCATCTCTGGAGACAAAACTCCTTACAAACAACAGCCAAAAGCCTGGAAGAACACTTGGAAAGCAGGGGATGGGGATGGATGTACTGCAGTGACTGGCTCTGGTACAACACCACCCAAAATCCACAGTGCATTTCTAGAGGGAGGACGATGATTAAAGTAACAAGTTCTCCAGAAAGCACCTTGATCTTCTAAATGCATCACAATGATACTGCTTGTTTTGTGCTTTCCTGATCTTCCTACAGATCCTGCATTTTTGAGGCAGCAGAAATGCTGGAGGAAGGTAAGTAAAGTGTTATTTTTTCGTTTACTCTTGTGACAAAGAATTACAGGCTTGGGGTGCACCTTCGCAAGGTTGGTCTGTGGTTTTCCATCACACCTGCCAATTTTTTTAGGTGAAGTTTGAACTATCATGATCAAAAATAGGCACAGTCACAGAAGACTAAAGCATAGGGACAAAATGCACAATGTCTGGTTCAGAATAAGAGAGGAAATTAAAGTATTTAAGGTGTTTCCTCACATTTTGAGGCTTTTTGGAGCCAGACAAAAATATCTGTGGATGCAGAGCATCCTGTGCTATGGAGAGACTCACTTTTTATATGAACATCAGCTCATTGAACCAGGCTTTGAACTGAGGATCTGTGAGCTGTGAACTCTGAGACCTGTAGCAGCTACATCTCCAGAATCCCAATGTTGTTGCTTGTTGCAGGGCTGATGGGATAATGGGAATTATCCTTGTCTATGTAAAAGGATTTAATATATCAAGAAATCTCTCCTGTCTTAAATTCCATGTAGAAGCTAAAAGGGCATCAAAATATGTGAGACTTAGTGGGGCAGATGTATGCAGATTGTAGGGGAAAACTTAATTTAGAGGCCAATTGAATACAAGGTTTCGCCTGCTTTTAACAGCTGCTCATTCCAATGAGTCCTGCAGGTAAAAGGGTAGCCAAAAGCTTTCTCTTCTCACCTTGTTTCAGAAGCTAAAAAATGATGGAGGGACATGGGAACAGCCATCCATAAATACCAGGAATTAGAGCCAAGAATGGTCACAGCAAGGCCACTGATTTTAATTCACTGGTTCCCAGAGGATTATTCCGACTGCTTCTTGCATGACCCGGCTCCTCTTTGTGCAAATGACTCAGCCCAAGAGGACATTTCAGATGACATTTATTATTTACATTTTTATATCCCTTTGGAGACTCCTTCCCTTTCTGCTGTGCCCCCAAATCTTTCTTTTCTTTTCTCATCCAGCTTTCTCCCTGTGCTGCATCATCATGTCCGTGAAAGTCAGAGCTGAGGAATAAACCCAAGCACAGCGTTTTGAGCACTGCAGGAAGAAAAATAAAGGCGATGCAACAACTCATCTGTTGAAATTTCATCCATAACTGGGTGTACCAAGGTCTGCTCAGTGTTTGTCAGCAAAGTACCTCGTATTTTCATGTGGAATTTCTTCCCAAAGGGCTCTGTGGTGAAGGCGGTTCAGCATGAAATGCTCTTCCCTTATTCGGTCACAATGAAATAACATTTTGCTGGACTTGGTGTTTTCATGATAAGACCTCACTGTTCCAAGTGTGCAGCCTTTTTTTTTGTCCTGCAGGTCACAATTCCTGCTTTCCCACAGCTCTGGACAGCTGTGCTGATTGTAGCCCAGAGGTGGCTGTTGTGAGGGATAAGAGGGATCAGGATGAACACAGTCATTTAAGAGCAATTCCCAATTACAACTAAATGCCAAATGGTTTTCCCATGCTGTGAAGATGTTAATAGCCAAATCTTCCTGTCCTTCCCAGGAATTTCTCCGCATTTAATTGCTCTCGAGTGAGAAAAAAAAACTCCTTCTCTTTGCCTGAGAAGGGAAACCACATCCAGCAAAGCCTGAGGTCTTTGCTTGACCCAAAGAAGGTATTTTGGCCAAGGCAAACCCTTCCCTGGGTCATTCTGGAGTACCAAGCTGAGCTTTCTTCCTTTCTTTTCTTACTTACTGTTAAATGGTGATGCCTTTTGCTCCTACAGAACACACCAGTCCATCCAAAGGGACATTCAGGCTCTTACACCTTTTGCACATGAGTTTTCCTTAATACTCCTGAAGAGAAGCTGCTGAGATACCTCAACTCATACAACAAAGGTGATCTCACTCTCACTGATGGATGAGGTAACACCAAATATTCCACATTTTGATAGGAAGTTCTCAAGAAATTACTCTTTTAAGTATATTCCTCTTTCACTAAAGAATGGGATAAACTATTTATAAAATAGTCCACTTTTCATGTGTTGATGTGTGAAGTGATCAACTGATCCCCAATTATAGAATCATGGAATCATAGATTGGTGGGGGTTGGAAGGGACCTTCAAGATCATCTCATTCCAACCCTTTGCCATGGGCAGTGACACTTTCCTCTATCCCAAGTTGCTCAGAGCCCCATCCAACCTGGCCTTGAACACTTCCAGGGATGGGGCAGCCTCAATCATCCTCATTTTCAGGAACTCTCTGTGTCTGTATGAATGATATGTAAAGACTAGACATTTTTTTAATGCTAATTTGTAAATCTGCTTTGCTGATCAACACTCCTACTTGGTTTTTTTTGCCCTTCACTCCATGGCAGATGTGAAGACATTCAGGGACAGGTTGTCACATTAGAACAATAATAGAAAAGTTCCCATTTCCAGCTGCAAAAGAAAGAGGAAAAGAAGGGGGTGAAGAATTTATGGCAGATAGATTTGGCACTAAACCCCAAACCATTCCAGAGGGGTTTTCCAGGCCTGGAAAATCTAGAGGGGAAAACCCTTGACATTAGTAGAGGTTGTGCTGTTGATTTTCATCTGACTTTTTCACAGGCAACTTTAGGTTGTGAGCAAAAACATTCTTCTTGCCTCTCACATTGACAGGTCAAGGTCAAATGCCTTTAATTGTGGCAGGGAAGGATCACATTCAATAATTGGAAAAATTTCTTCAGGGAAAGGGTGATTAATCTTTGGGACAGGCTGCCCAGGGAGGTGGTAGAGTCACCACCCCTGGAAGGGTTCAAAGAATGAGCAGATGTGGCACTTCATGAGATGGTTTCGTGGGAATGGTGGTATTGGGTCAAAGGATGGACTTGATGACCTCGGAGGTCTTTTCCAACGTCAATGATTCAATGATTTTAAACGGATTCTCCGTCCTCACAATTCCAAATCCGGGCTCAGCTGCTCAGCTGCTCCCTGCTGAGCTCAGGGCAGGGCTGGCACAGGGGTACAGAAGGTGCTGTTTGATGTCTTGGGTTTGTAGATGGTGAATTACCACTAATTACCACTAATCTTTGTGCTCAACAGCTTTTGGTCACAGACAGAGGGGCAGGAACCTCAGGATGAAAAATCTGTGCTCTGAGAAAGGGCCTGACAATGCACTTTTCCCCTTTTCCATGCTGTGAAAGGACATCGCAGCGCACAAGACCTCCCATTTCTGCTGTCTGTGCAACTTCAGGCGTGTTCAACATCTTCCCCCAAGGAATAGTTAAAACTCCTGGATGGAATAAATAGAACAAAAACTGTTTGGAGAGACCTGAGGGGTGAGAGGTGTCTCTTTGGGATTGAGATGGGTTTTATTGTCGGGGAGAACCAACGCAGCTGGGAGGCAGCACATGCACATCCCTGCTCACCCCCAGCATGAAAAATTGTTTGTGGCTTCACTGACACTTTCTTTAAAAGAATAGTTTTGTTCCTGGTTGGAAGGAAATGAAAAAAACCTGTCATATCCACAGGAAATGTTTCAAATCTCTCAGGGCTTTGAACTGGGGAAATGCTTCAATGATGCTCTTTTTCTTTCTGTGAAATGAAGAAAATTTGGAAATTGAGAGTCTGTTTCAAATGCTAAATATCTGTGTTTTGTGCAGGGAAAAATGAGAAAATCATTATCCTGCCTTTTCAGTTCCCTCTGCATTGAAACCTCAAACACCCTTCAGGCCTTTTATTCTTTTATAAACCCCAGGAAATTGTCAGTAGTTTAAGAATGAATCTTGACAAGAAAATATGAGGAGCTTTGGCAGATTTGAAAACCCAGTATCTCAGGATCTATTCTCATCCACCAACGGCCTGTTCTCACTTCCCAGTATCATTGAGGGGTTCCCAATCTAACACAGGAGACTCGGTAAATATTATTTGGAAGCTTCCCAGCCTGGCATGGATTGGAAATCCATATTTCCTTGGAATCAGTGCTGACTACTGCAAAGTCCCACTGCAGTTTTGCTACTGCAGCCTCATGTGAAGGCACTGATAGAAAGGCAATAATAACACTTTGAAAATGATAAGTGGCACATTAAACTCTGCTCCAGTTCCTCAGCTCCCAGAGATAACAAGCATTCACCAACAAATATTAGTTATAAAGATGCAGCACAACATGTGCCAGGAAATTAGAGGCAGGAAAATCAATCACCTCAAAGGAGGTGGATGCAGCTCTAATCCAGGCTCTAAAAGCCAGAACTCCTGGTTTTGTGCCTGAAATATCCTGGCAGAAGATAAAGGTCTTATCACTTGCTGAAATGAAAAGTACAACTTTTTAAGAACATATTTCTGAGCTCACGGAAGAAATGCCAGCTTTCTTTTTTTATTTTTTTTATTTTTTTTTTTGAATGCAGGAATTCAGCATCTGGAAACTTAGGGAAGAGGGAGATACTGTGTGGTGCAGGAATAATTCACTGATTTGTGAATTCAGAGTCTTACCCTGCTGGTAATGTTTGTTGAGCTTATACTTAATGCAAGAGGAATAAAAGGAAATTTTCCCAGCCCTCCTGGACTCAGCTGAACGGCTCAATAACCTCGCTGGGGATTTATAATTTGCTGTTGCTTTTCGAAATGTGCCAAACCCAAGAGACTCGGAGGGACAGTTTTAGGGAGGGGAGGGGAACAGGTTATTGGGGAAGATGATTGAAGAACCTCATTGTGCTGGAGTTTTTCTGACATTTCCTTTGCAGGGAGGGCAGGCTGCCGCCTCAGCACTTCTCCTCTTCTTGAAGGCTCTTATCTTCCCAGCCATGTGTTCCTGGGCCCTGTTAATGAGGCTGATACACAATATATCTCACACAGAGCCCGAGTTACAAAGGATGAGGTGAAAACCTGCCATTCTGATGGGATGGGAATCCTAATGCAGCAGAATTTTCTGCAAGTGCTGTGGAGTTGTAAATAATGGAAGAAGGATAAGGATAGACAAGGCAAGTCAATACCTGAGATGCATCTTAATTGCTTGGCTCAGTACAAACAAGTAGCAACACGTGGTGCTTCTGGTGAGCTCAGATTGTCATGGTTTTGCCACAATTTGTGTGATCTGAGCAATTATGAATCGTAGAATCATCAAATCATAGAATGGTTTGGGTTGGAAGGACCTTAAAGATCATTTAGTTTCAACCCCCTCCCCACGGACTGCGACAACAACGTGGATTTATGTCTCTTCAGTCAACCTGCCCCACCTGAGGTACACAAATGCAAGAGGAAGGGCTAATCCTGTCTCACTGGGGGCTGTTTAGGTACATCTGAAACATCTTTTAGGCCTTCTGAGCTGGTTGTGAATGAAAAGTTTGATTATACACGAGTGGGAAAGTGGACACTCCAGAATGGAGAAACACCCTGCAAAAAGACCTGGGTGGGCTGGAAAGGTGGGCTAACAGGAACCTGATGAAGTTCAATAAATGTATATATATAGGGTCTTGCACGTGGAAAAACATAATCCAGCAGTGCAGCACAGGCTGGCATCTATCCAACTCTGTGGAAAGGGTCTGGGGGTCCTGGTAGACAATAAACTCCATATGAATGAACTCTGTGCTGCCACAAAAAACTCAAAAGGACTCTGGGTTGCATCAACAGCATCACCAGTAGAGGTAAAAAAGTCATTGTCCCACTCTACTCCGCTCTTGTCCAGGCCACATCTGGAATGCTGTGATTAGCTTGGGTCTGTGTTGTACCAAAAAGGCATGGACAGATTGGGGAGGGTCCACAGAAGGGCCACAAAGATTATCCAAGGTCTGGGAAACCTGACACGTGAGGAAAGACTGAGATAAACTGGATCTGTGCATCCTTGAGAAAAGAAGGCTCAGGGGAGACCTTGTCACTGTGTCCCAGTGTTTAAAGGGTGGCTGAAGGATGGAGATTCCCATTTTAGGAGTGCTCACCTGGAAAAGATGAGGGGTAATGAGTACAAGTTATTCCCAGGGAGGTTCTGATTGGACACAGGAGGAAAATTTTGCACAATGAAAGAAGTGAGCCACGGAATGATCTCCCCAGGGAAGTGGTGAGTTCCCTAATACTGGACAATTTTAGGATTCAGCTGGATGGGGTGCTGGGCCGTTCTGTCCAGATCCTGCTTTTGCCAAGAAAAGTTGGACGAGATGAACCTCCAGGCTCCTTCCAACCTGGCATTCTGTGATCCCATGACTGAAAAACAGGATTCCTTGGGCAGATCAAAGAAAGAGTGTTGGAGTGAGTTCAGAGGTGTCCATGAAGATGCTCCAAGGGCTGGAGCCCCTCTGCTCTGGAGCCAGGCTGGAAGAGCTGGGGATGTTCACCTGGAGAAGAGAAGGCTACGGGGAGACCTGAGAGCCCCTTCCAGGGCCTAAAGGGGCTCCAGGAGAGCTGGAGAGGGACTTGTCCCAAGGCATGGAGGGACAGGACAAGGGAAATGGCCTTAAGCTGCCAGAGGCCACGGTTAGATGGGATACTGGGAATAAATTCTTCCCTGGGAGCGTGGTGAGGGGCTGGAATGAAATTCCCAAAGAAGCTGTGGCTGCCCCATCTCTGGAAGTGTCCACCAGGTTGGACAGGGCTTGGAGCAACCTGGGCTAGTGGAAGGTATCCCTACCCATGGCAGGAGGTGGAGCTGGATGATCTTTCAGGTCCCTTCCAACCCAAACCATTCCATGATTCTGGTGAAATAAAGAAGAAAACAAATGTTGCCCATTAAAATCTGAAATTCTCCTGCTTGCTGTGATTCGACAGCTGCTCCTATGACAAAGTCCTGTCTGGACACTGAGTCAAAACAGGACTTTATTTTTCTGGAAATCATCCCTAGAATCCCACAGGCCAAGCTTTTCATCAACAAGTGCCTCAGTTGTGTGTGTGAGACATTCCTGCTGCACGGGATGGACACAGGGCACTTCCTTCAAGGTTGTTGTGCTACAAGATCCCTAAAAAATAGAGCATAAATAGATGTGCCTTGATCCCGATGTTTCCTAAGCATCCCCTGTGTCCCAAGGGTAGGTTTTCTAGGAAGCAGAAGCTTGGAATTATACACAGCGAGTATCTGAATCAAAAACAAGAAGTGGGTGTTTTTCAGCTTGATTGGTACAGAACTGAAAGTTGAGTTGGTTCAGTTTGGGGATCTCCTTTCATGTTTTTTTCACTTGTAATTGAGTGTTTTGCTTCACTTTCAGGTTGTTAAAGTGTTTCAGAAAAACCTTTTTCAGCTGGAGGTTGAAAATTTAAAAAAAAACCCTTTATTTCTTTTAGAGAGGAGAAGTCAAAAAGCATTTTTCTTCCACAGGGTTTTATGAGATATTTTCCAAATGTTTCAATGGCAAATTTATAGCACCCAGGGCATAACTTAATGTATTTACTGATTGAAGGGAATGACCCAATTCAGCCCAATTGAAACCAGTTAAAGGATCATTTTGATCTCTTTGGAGGTCCATTTTTGGTTTAAATAATTTTTTTCTCTTTAAATTTACATGCACATTAAACTTTTCTGGGTTTTTAGGGGTGTTTTTTTTAAGGCTCTTTCTTGCCACATCACCAGCAGAACTCTTTGTTGGTAAGCACTTGTTAAAATAATCTTCTCCCACGTGTAACCCATCAATAAACTGCTCAGAGAAGGAGCTGGTAAATCTTAATGCATCTGGAAAGAAATGGGACCCTGGTAGGACAAAGGGATTTAAAAAGAAAAAAAAAAACAGAGAGAGAGAAAGACTAAAAGATTCTGTCAGGTTGATTTTTTATTAAGAACCTCGACACTGGAATTCAGAAAATGAGGATATTTTGTTCTGGCTCTTGATGTGCTCCTGTAGTTTCCTTAGGGAATGATGGGAAAAGGGGACAGGCAAGGGAATGCTAAATTAGAGGGAAGCCATAGGAGCATTTTGCTGAGATGACAGTTGACAGGGAACAGAAGGGCCTGATGTTTAATCACCATTTTTATTGGCAACTGAAGTGTCCCTCGGTCTCTCTTTGTCCAGAAGAGTCATCGTAGACTCACATGGGGCTCAACAAGATTCCCAAGTGCAGCTGAGAAAGGAATTGTATCCTGGTGCCCTGGAGTGGGACCTGCAGGATGAATAAAAAACCAAAAAAAAAATCCCACTGGCCCTGATAAAGCAAAAAAAATCCCGTTTGAAGCTCGTCCTGGTGTTGTGAAGGTGATGCCTTTGGCAAGGGCAGCTGTAATTCAGCATTGGAGAGACGGATCATTCCTTGTTTCTCTGAAGCACCTTCCCCTCCAGCCCTCTTTGATGGATTCTTCCATTCCCTTCCACAGAGAAGCTGTGGATTCCCCATCCTTGGAAGTGCCTGATGGCACTTGGAGCAACCTGGTCTAGTGGAA